GAGTGACGAACGAACCCACAACAAAGCGAATCGTGATGCGACCGTTCCCTTGGCCTGTCAAATATATCGTGACCATAACCCGACCCGGTTTCAGCTGTCTTGAACCAATAAACATCTGCCACGTAGACTACTTCCAGTACACGTAAGCTATCTCCGTCACCGTGTTTTTAGACAACATGGGCCCTCTTTGCCGTCTCTTAACGAGACCAAATTTTCATAGACAGTGCTTATTTTGCCGTTAACTCACGGTGCTTTTTTACTCATTTTAACGGTTTAACGCCGTTAAATTCTTTTGTTTTTTTCTTCTCTTTCCTCCACGTATAAATTACTCAGAGAAGCTCTCTGTCTTCACTCTTCCTCTTCGTCATCATTTACAGTAACCGAAGCTCCGTGGGTGACCCGATTACCCGACTTCTCAACCCGGCTTTTTTTTTTAATCCTCATTTTTTGTTTTTGTTGATCTTCGACGTTTTTCGCTGTGAGTTTATTTGATTCGATTTCGCTCGGTGAAGAAGAAGACATTAAGGTCAGTAGTAGTAGTACGAGTTTAGAGAAATTGTCTTTTTCAGATTTTTTTTTTTGTTTTTTAATGGGAAAATAATAAGAGATTCGTTGCTTGTGTTTGTTTCTCTTTACTGTTTATTACAAGCGATTGAGAAAGAAAGATAAAACAGATATTAGTCACTGGTTTTTTTTTTTTTCTTTTCCCGATCGATCTTTTCAATCTATTTTTTTCCCGGGAAAAAAATAGATTCAGAGAGTTTTTTGATTGATTTGATTTTGACAGATTCGATTGGTCATTATTTTTTTGTCCTCTCTTCCTTTTTTTGTCCTCTGTTTTCCTCCAGATTTTCCTACTACTTTCCCGGAAAATTTTGTTGTGTTCTTCATTTAAAAATTTTCCCGGTATATTTATTGTTCAATCACTTTACTTCTTTTTTTTACTTTAATGTCGAGAAAGAACTCAAAAAAGAAGAATTACGCCGAATTTTTGTTTCGCCATTAAAAGCTATTCATCATCATCAATTTGTTTTGGTCCTTTATTTTGTTCTGCTACATTTATTACCATTAGTGTCTGTATTGTAACACTAGACTAATAATACTAATAATCTCTCAAGCCATTGATGGTCTATTTATAGGTTTAGACACAGAACAAACCCCACTCGTGCCGGTGACTAAAATAGACCTTAACTCAGATTTTCGAAACCAAACCAGGTTAGTAACAACAAAATCAAATTCAATGGTTTGAGAAATAAATAAATAAAGACTTTTTTTTTTTTTCTAATCTCAATCTTCGTAATTCGTGATTGATGTTTTTTTTTTTTTAATTTGGTTATAGAAGAAAGAAATGAATACATTCATTCATTGATATCCATAGCTTTAATTTTTGTTTCTCTCGACACGCTTTAGATTGGTCCATCATCACATAAACCCTAAATATAGAAACCAAACTCTTTTTCTTTTTCACTTCACGTGACTGTCAAGACTCCATTTTCTTGTTAAACATTTGAATTTTCCTTTTTCAGTAATTCCAATAG